ATGAAAAAAAAAGTAGAGGGAACATTGCTGGTGACCCTTTTCACATAGCGACCCTCACTATACATTTAAAAACACTTTGTTATATTTAACACTGTTATAAATACTGAACATGACAGGACAGCTCGCAACCACCATCTAATACCTCATGACCCCTTGAAGGGGCAAGAACCCCCCAGTTTGAGAACCCCTTGTATAGCACACTCCCTATGTTTTCCATGAGATAATGAATGATACCAAGAGTAGCCTATTAAACTAAATATTTAGCTAGAAAAAGTGGACAAGAAAACAATCTACATGTGCAATATATTCAAGGTAATGTTGCTACAGGAGATTTCTCTTCTACATTTACTAATTTTTGTGCAAACTTAACCTTGCATTCACAATAGTTTTGCATTTCATTTCCTACGTTTGTTGTTTCTTTTAAATAAAGGGAATCAATATCCTGAGAGCTTGCAGAACTTACAAGCAGAAGTGAGCAAAAACTAGATTTTTTAATATGGGAGGCCAAACCAGAAAAAAAAATCAGTTTGAGTCAAACTGAAACCAATTTTTAATTTTTTTTTTTTTTTTTTTTTTTTTTTGTGGAAAAATTGAAAATCTGGAAAAAAATCATTTTAAATATAAAAGCTGTTAATAGAAATGGAATAATAGCAGATTAGGGTGGAAGAGACCTCAGGAGGCCTTTTAGTCCAACCCCCTGCCCAAAGCAGGACCAACCCCAACTAAATCATCCCAGCCAGGGCTTTGTCAAGCCAGGACTTAAACACCTCGGCTTTGTCTACAATGCTGGCAGAGAGCACGCAAATGAAGCGCTGATTAGCATTTTGTCACTCATTTGCATAATCTATTCGAGCCGGTTTTGTGCAAGGGGTTTTTGTGTAAAAACAAGCCATGTGAACATTTCCTTTTTGCGCAAAAGGGGTTTTGTGCAAAAATGGCTTGAATAAATTATGCAAATGAAGCACAACAAAATGCTAATGAATGTGTCATTTGCATACTATCTGCCAGCAAAAGCCGGCAGTGTAGACATAGCCCTCTTGGGATGGAGATTCCACCCCCTCCCTAGGTAACCCATCCCAGTGCTTCACCACCCTCCTACGGAAATAGTTTTTCCTAATATCCAAGCTAGACCTCCCTCCCTGCAGCTTGAGACCATTGCTCCTTGTTCTGCCATCTGTCACTACTGTGAACAGCCTCCATCCATCCTCTTTGGAAGCTCCCTTCAGGAAATTGAAGGTCGATATCAAATCCTCCCTCACTCTTCTCTTCTGCAGACTAAACAAACCCAAATCCCTCAGTCTCTCCTCATAAGTCATGTGCCCCAGCCCCCCAATCATTTTTACTGCTCACTGCTAGACTATCCAGTTTCTCCACACTTTCCATAGAGGGGGGCCCAGAACTGGATGCAGCACTCCAGATGTAGCCTCACCAATTCTGAATAGAGGGGAATAATCAGTTTCCTCAATCTGTTGGCAGTGCTCTTACTAATTCAGCCCTTCTTGGCAACAAGGATACACTGACTCATATCCAGCTTCTAGTCTATAGTAATCCCCAAGTCCTTTTCTGCCAAACTGCCACAGTGCATGGGATTCTTCCATCCTAAATGCAGGACTCTGCCAATTTGTCTTGGTCACTCTGGACCTTTTGTCTGCCATCCTGTATAGCTACTTCTCCCTCCAGCTTAGTGTCATCTGAGAACTTCCTGAGAGTGCAATCCATCCCCTCATCCAGATCATTAATAAAGATGAACAAAACCAGCCCTACAACCAATCCTTGGGGCACCCCGCTTGACACTGGCCACCAACCAGACATCAAGCTGTTGATCACTAATCATAGAGCCCAACAATCTAGCCAGCTTTCTATGCACCTTACAGTCCATTTATCCAATCCATACTTCCTTAACTTGCTGGCAACAAACTGTGGGAGACCGTATCAAAAGCTTTGCTAAAGTCAAGGTATATCATATCCACTGACTTTCCCATATCCACAGAGCCAGTTACCTTGTCATAGAAGGCAATCAGGTTGGTCAGGCATGACTTGCCCTTGGTGAATCCATGTTGACTGTGCCTGATCATCTTCCTCCCCTCCATGGGTTTCAAAATGGATTCCTTGAAGACAGACTCTTGGATTTTTGCAGGGATTGAGGTGAAGCTGATCGGTCTGTAGCTCCCCATTTCTGCCTCCTTCCCTTTTTTAAAGACAGGCACTACATTGGCCTTTTTTCAGTTGTCCAGGACCTCCCCTAATCGCCCCCCCCCTCTAGCCTGGCCTGACCCAGTGCAGTGGTCTGGGATCTTGTCTGTGAAGACCGAAGCAAAAAAGCATTGAGTACTAGGGATGTAAGTGACTAGTCGATTACCCAATAAGCTTATTGGATAGTTGAATAGTGACTCAACTAGTCGCTTTCCCCTTCCCTTGATTCTGGGAGGAACCAGCTTAAAAGCCAGTTCCCCCCAACACTGTCTCTGCAGGAGTCAGGGGAAGCAGGGGAGTAGCAGGGACCGGGTGCGAGCCAGGACAGCTGATTCCTGGCTGGAACCCAGTCCCAGACTCTGTGCCTCTGCTTTTTAAATGTATTAAGAGCTGCCAGGTCAGCTGATGCTCAGCTCCCACGCAGTTCCCCCACTACACCTCTTCCTTTTAAATGTATTAAGAGCTGCCAGCTCTTAATACATTTAAAGGCAGAGCTGCAGCGAGGTTAGTTCCTAGGGCCAGGAGCTAACCCCGCTGCGGCTCTGCAATTTCTCCCTTATTGACTGATCAATGGAAATTCCATTGATGACTCAACTAGCTGATTAAATGCAATTGAACATCCCTCTTGAGTACTTCAGCAGTTACCATCCCCATCCAGTAGGGGACCCACACATTCCCAGACCACCTTCTTATTGCTAACATGCCTGTAGAAACCTTTCTTGTTACCCTTCACATCCCTTGCTAGCTGTAATTCCAACTGTGCTTTCACCTTCCCGATTATACCCCTGCATGCTAAAGCAATATATTTATATTCCTCCCTAATCATCTGTCCAAATGAAATACTCATGGAGAGGAGAGGCACTGTCATTTTCAGAATGTTTTCACCCTTCTCAAAATGGCCAAATTTTGAAAATGAAATGCAATTTTGAAAAATCAAAACAAAGTGTTTCAAAATGGTTAAATTGAACCATTCTAGCTTCTTTCTTTTTTCAGTCAAAACTATTCATTTAATTCTACCTAAATTTGAAAATAGTTTCAGTGCTCTGAAAAATGTATTTTTGGTGAAATTATTATTTGCTGAAAACATTTCACTCAGCACTACTAACATGCCTCTTGCCAGCAGAGCTTGTGAATTCCTTAAAACAATCAGCATGCACTGAACTAGCTGTATGTGCCACAAACATTTTTATTCCGTTTCTTGCTTAAATGGAAAAGCAGAACCTAGTCATCCCTTGCTCAGCAGGAGAGTGGGTTGAAAGTCTAAGAACCTAAATTTAAGCCTGATCTATACTGAAAAGTTGCATTGATTTAATTAAATTGATTTTAAAATGATCTCGTTCAAGTAGTGAAAATTTTCCAGTGTAAATGTCATAAAATCAGTTTAAATCTCACTTAAATTAGTTTAGCTTAATTTGGTAATTTTACCAACATGAATTTAAGCAAGAGCTAAACCAGTTTAAATTATTACATTGTAAACAGATATGATTAAACTGGCACAAATTTTCTCCTATAGATGCAGTTTAAAATGTACCTTAGATAAGGAAACAGTTCATAGTTATAAATCAGCCTAGTGTTAAAAAATAAGCCTGTAATTTTACATAAACATCAGCTTTTTCAAATGTCTATTGTTTATTTTTTGTGTTTTATAAAGGAAATTCACTTTTTCGTGTCCCTATCAATAACCTTGTCAGTAAGCCAGCTAGAAAATACATCAGACCATTTGGTCCCCCATCACCTGGTGGAGATGGTTCTATCTGAACAGACATTAAACTTCGTATATATTTTAGAAATGTGCGCCTGCGAGTCCATTTGCTCAAGAACACTTCCTAAATTTGGAACCACCAAATTTGGTAGGCAGCTTCTTCTTAGAACTTAAAGCAAGATCAGAGTTTGACTATGCCAGGATAATGGGATGTGCCTGGAATTCAATTATTTCTCATCAAATGGAAAGGGAGGGGTCTGGGAGAAGTGACAGTTATATTGTAGAACAGTGTTTCTTAAAATTTTTAAGATGGAGGAATACCAAACAATTTTTTTTATGAAGAACACCAAGGATTTTTGTGTTGACGGGGAAAAAAAAGAGTCCAGGAAAAAGTTATTGAGCAAAAAAAGAAAAATAGGGACGGGAGGAAAGTTATTGAGCAAAAAGGAGCGGGCATTTTGAACTCTGTTGTTCTCCATGGCACACCTCCGACTGCCTTGCGGCACACCGGTATGCCACGGAATACAGTTTAAGAAACACTGCTGTAGAATGATCACAGGGGATCAGGAAAGGGCCAGAGCTGTGGAGTGGGACAGCTATAACCCCATTGGGCCAGCAGGGGTGGGGAAAGGGACAGTTGTCTATTATGTATTTCAGAGAGTTTGTCTGTTTGTGTGTCTGTCTGTCCCCAGCCAGGGGACAGGCACCCCTCCCTCGGCTGTGCCCGCTGTAGCTGCCATGGAGAGGCTGCTTCAGCGAGAGAGGGCTGAGGTTGTCCTCTCTCCTGGACAGCCAGCGTACTGATCTCCGCAGCCCCACCCCGCAGCAGTGATTTAAATGAAGAAAAACAACACTTCATTGAGTTAAGGACCCAAGCAACACCAGGCAAATCTTCTAGTGAGACAACAAAAGGGGACAATGGTGTTTCTCTACTCTGAGATGATTGTCTCATCTTGGCCAGCTCACTGTAAAATCCTAGTGGAGACGAGGCACAGGCACCTCCCCTACCCCCATGATAGACAGGTGAGGTGAATGCCATGTCTAAGGATGTTAAATTGTGTTTAATCAGCTAATCAAGTAGTCAATAGAATGGCTGTGAGGGGGGGGGGGGGGGCTGCAGACCTGCAGTGGAGTTAGCTCCCGGCCCCGTGAGCTAGCCCTGCTGCATCTCTGTCTTTTAATGTAGTAAGAGCAGCTCATTTAAAAAGCAGAGGTGCAGCAGGCGACCAGGCATGATCCGGGACTCAGCTGCCCTGGCTCGTGTCTGGTCCCAGACACTGTGCCTCTACTTTTTAAATGTAGTAAGAGCACTGTGGGGGACTGGGCATGAACTGCGACAGCTGAGTCCTGGCTCGCGCCCAGTCCCCCCTGCACCTCTGCCTCCCCAGCCCGTGACTTTTAAGCTAGCTCCCCCCAGCACCAGCTCCTGCTCCCTCAGAGAAGTGACTAGTCACTTACATCCCGAGCTATTCCCCCAACCAATAGTTGACATCAACTAACTCCATCATGGCAGAGAATCCAGAACTTTGTTTCCTCTAGGATCATGCCAACACATATTTTCTGGCAGAGACAACATAGCCATTGTGTCCTCGGTATTCAACCTCACCCTGCTCACCCATGAATATCCCACTTCTGCCTGCCCTTCTCTCTTGGTCTCTCCTGTGCACAGTCTGCACCCTCACAACACTCTCATGTGTGGCTTATGAACTGCTCTCTTTTGGCATATGGGATGAGTGGGTTCTTTGTCTTCTCTGCCATCAGTCCCTCCCTGCCTTCACTGGCCTTTCCTCGCCCCATTTGGAATGCTTCTTCCAGCTGAGCCTTCTAGTGGACCTTTGCTAAATGCAAGCCACTTTTCCCCTTGCCTAGCCAATCCCACAGTTCCCAGCAAAGGTTCTGTGCAGCCACCCACACCCATATATTGTACTTCAGCTCCTTTGCTGTAGCCCTGACTATAAAAGACTTGCTCAGGGTTACACACAGGGCAGTTACCTTGCTTCTGATTGTTTTTCATACTTGCTGTGCTAGAAAATGGCCAGAGGATTTTGCCTTCAGCTTTTGGGAAACATCACCTTGGAGTGGGGGACCAAACCTTGGTCAGGGGGGTCCAAAAGATCCAAGTGCTGAGCATGGAAGCTATTCTGCAGCCAGCCCCAGCGAGAGAGAGCAGATGATGCTGAGCGGGATACAGAGGAAGAGGCAGAGAAAGAAGCGAGAAGGAGAAGCACTGGGAGACAGAGAAAACAAGAAGACAGGACTGACAGAAGGAGCGACAAGGTTCCCCAAGGGGAGGGGGCAGGAGCTGAGTGAGCTCTTCCCAGCACCACCAGTAGCTGTTGCCAGCTCCTGGGTCCTTAGCAGAAGACTCCCCCCCCAGCCCATTGGAATCCCTGCCTAAGGCTGGGAACTCTGCAATCAGTGGGCTCCACTTCCTCGGAAGACACTTCAAAGCACACGACACAGGAAGGAACACACAGAGTGGCTGGGACTGGGGGTAGGCCCTTGCCTCTCCACCTCCCCTACCCCCATGGTAGGCATGCACTGGCAGGTTGTTCTCCAAGACCAAAGTGCATGTGTGTGTGTTGGGGAAGGGTCAGGAGGTTAACATTTCACAACACTGACTGCTCTTGCACCCCCCGACACCACTCTCTTGTCATCCCCATGCTTCCTCTCCCCCTCCAGCATGAGGCCAGTGAGGCACCGCCTGTCCATTGCCTGAGCACATCTGGGGACAGTTAAGGTAATTGTGGTAATGGGAAGTTGTGGCACAAGTAGCTGGTTCCTGATGTAGCAGAGGCAACAGGCGAGGACGCTCTCTGGGTGCGGCAGAAGGGTCGTGGAAGCAGGCGCCACGAGTCTCACAGATTTACCAAGGGGATCCTGGAGAAATAAAATAATCAGAGATTGAAGATGCCTCCTCAGGTCCCCCCTCCCTGCCTGGCTAGTACTATTCCCCACCTCCACCCCCTCCCCAAGGCTCCTAGTTCCTAGCATCTCATGCAATGGGACTCCAGCCCTTCCCTTAAACAGAGGCCCCCCCTGGGTGCACAGAGTCCAGAGCAGGAGGGCAGTTTGGAGTCCTTTCCCCAGATTCGCTTTTTTCCCCACTGGCTCCCTGCACTAAACAACCCTCTGTGCCCTGGTTTCCAAGACGGGCAGCAGAGAACTGCTCTCTCTTTCTCTCTGTCTCTTCTTGGGCCAGCGTTCTTTTCTTCCTCTTCCTCTCCCTCTCCCCATCTCTGTCCCCGCCGTACTCCCTCCTTTCCGTCACTCACCGGTTGAGCTGGAAGGTCCTGCTTTTCCCCTGGCCCCCCAGTTTCTCTACACCCTCCTGGACCTGCCTGGGCTCCTCCATCTCAGGGGTTGGGACCAGGGTGTCTCCGTAGGGTCCCAGGATGCTGACTGTGGTGGGCGACAGGTCTGTGAGTGGCTGCTGACTCTCCTGTTGCCGCACTCCACTCTGCTGCCCAGAGTGACGCCGCCGCTTCTGATTACGGTCCCAGCTGCAGAGAGAGCATCGCTAAGACCAGGGAAGACCTTGCCCCTAAGGTACCCGAACCTCAAAAACAATGGAGTCTGTGCCCTATCGCCCCCGGAGCCCTTGCACCCTGAGCACAGTTGGGTCCATGCTCTAACCCTCCCCCACCACTCTGCAACATGTCCCCAAAGCGCCTCCCCAAAGTCCAAGCAGTGTCTCTGGCCTGGTGAGCCCCAGGAGGAGCGAAGGCTCCCAGTGTGCAACCAAGTAAGATAACACTCCCAGCCCGGAACCCCACTCACCAGAACTTGAAGATGATCCCGGTGGCGACTAGGACAATAATGATGGAGATTGTGATGGTAACATAGAGCTGAGGATCCACACCTGAGAGAGAAAGAGCACGTGAGAGCTGCCTCCAGCACCCAGCCAGAGGCACCGCAGGGAAAGGGCCAGGCGAGCCCCTGCCCACCCGAGTGCACTCCTGGCCTCTCCCAGCAGAAGGTGACAGAGATGTGGTGCAGATTTACCTTCTCCCCGGGGCCCGAATAAAAAGGGTCTCAGTGTAGCGGGCGTCTCCCGCAGGTTGAGCCCCGCATTGTGCAGCAGCGAATGGGAGTTGGGTTGTGCCGTTGCCATCCCATGTGGTGAAACAAAGGTGTAACCCAGAGGCGGGAAGCCAGGATTGGCTGAGTTGGTGTCACCTCCATCCTCATCTGACACTGTGGGACCCCATACGATGGCCCAGGGGTACTGGGATGAAGGCAGCCCCTCCTCAAACCCAGAGGGGGTGGCAGGCCGGGCTCCTGGGGCCTGGCGCCTCAGCCGCATGGCATGACGCAGCTCCCCCTCCTTTGGGGTCAGAAATCGCTGGCGCAGTGTGATGAAGCGCGAGTCTCTCTCTGGGGGTGAGATCTTGTCCCAGATGCAAACAGGCCTGGCAGCCGAGGGGCTGCGCCGGGCACAGAGTGGCCGGGGAGCAAGGGGGCTTCGGGAGCGAAGAGACCAGACGCCGTGTGAAGAGCATGTTAAGGCCAGGAGCAGGAGGGTCCAGAGCTGCAGCGAGTGGTGACAGGAAACCAGCGGGAGCATCACACTGAGGGAGGAGAGAGAGAGAATTGGCAAAAGAGCACCCCCTGCTGGGAGATGGCAGACCTGGAGCTGCTGAGTTGGCACCACAGCCAGCATTCCTACCCCCTTCCTACGGCATCTATAGCCCTGCAAGGAAAGGCTGTGCCTTGAGTCCCCCCTTGGCCAGTGTGCCTCTCCTATTCTGTAGTGTGCCTTCTACAATGCTGATTAACTGGAAGTAATGAACCTACCAGGTACCTGACTCCATAGCAGAGGCAACAGTGTCTTCACTCAGCATCCACCCCGTCTCATATTCTTCACTAAGGGACAAAAAAAGGAAATTCAGTGGCTGTCATCTCCAGCACTCCTAGTGCCCATCAGCACTGATGTGAATGCTCCAGTCATGCCTGGTCATTCACAGCCTGGGCCCCAACACACTACGCTGTCCACACAGCCCACAGGCACACGTCTTGAGCATACACACATCTTGTGCAGACTCACATAGGCACATGCCATAGTCTCTTCTTCCTCCACATGCACACCCACGGCACACAAAGGCACGTGCCCACACTTAGTCACACTAACATTTGTACAAACTGTGCACACAGTGTCACTAGGGACTTCTGTGCCTGAAGGTCGAAGGGAATTCAGTCTTTGTTTGCTTGTCACTAGATCAAGTTGGAATTCTGTTTGTTTATACTATGGAGTGAGTAATACATTTATTAAAAAAGGGACTCCTCCAGTGTGTGTTGGAGAAAATGGGGGGAAACAACAGTGATAAAGACAATATGAAAGTGAGAGTGAATCATCTAGAAAAGTCCAGATCTGCTAACAAATTTAAGAGCAAAAATGTACCCATCAAATATTTAGTTTACATTCCCATTGGCTAACACGGAATTAGGTTTTCCATGCCCTCTGCTCCGTAAAAAAGGGACTCCTCCAGTGTGTGTTGGAGAAAATGGGGGGAAACAACAGTGATAAAGACAATATGAAAGTGAGAGTGAATCATCTAGAAAAGTCCAGATCTGCTAACAAATTTAAGAGCAAAAATGTACCCATCAAATATTTAGTTTACATTCCCATTGGCTAACACGGAATTAGGTTTTCCATGCCCTCTGCTCCG